AGATAAATTACGACTTATAAACCAGGAGAAAGGAAGCACGTACCCTAGATTACGCAAATTTTATTTCAGTTCCAGGAAAGAGCAAAGCGGAAAAATGGAAACGCAGAATCCTTAGAATTCTTTCGTTCGAGAAGCCAAAAGAAATGGATAATGATAATGATCTTCTTCTAATTTGTTCGTTATTTTAATTTTTAATTTATCATAACCAGGAAAGGAGCGTGTAAAAATTGCAATTACGATAAATTATAAGCTTTTTACCCACTGGATGGATCGTAACACCGGAATTAATCTGTCCTTCTCTTCCTACGCCTCTTCACGACTCCCATAGAAAAGATAACAGGCTAACAATGGGAATAATGGCTGCAATATCTGCCGTCTCTATAATAAAACCCTCTGGTGATCGTAGCTACTCTGTCTTTAAGTGTAAATATTAAGCAGATTTATGCTCGAGATTCTATACTAAAGTTTCTGTTTGTTATTATTCATTGCAAGAGTAAACGATCGACTCGAGACCATCGAGTTATCTGACCATTTTTCGCTCGCTTTATCTCGCTGCAACTTTTCACGTATCTTTTCCACGACACTTTCACTTTCCATATCATAAACATACTACAATATTTCTTATAATATTAGTTTATATCATAGAGTTCTTTCACGATTTATTTCTTTAAGGAAAATTTTAAGAATGATTAAGTTTTGGGTAAGCTAAGGGTGATCAGTGGCTAATAAAAAGACTAGAGATGATTACTATTAATTTAATATAATTTGAATTATTTTTATTTTATTTTCCCCTGTAATTTTTAAAGAATGGTTAGGTATATGATGTAATATTAGATTTATAATATTATGTATATAATAGTATGTAGATTTATTTTAAATTTTAAATAATTAAGATCAATGGTAAAATAATTATTACTCTATTAATTTAATTTTAATTGAAAAACTCTTTGCCATTTTATTTTTTCTTGTAAAGAGAAATGGAGTTTAAGGAAACTGAGAAAGAAAACTGGACAGGAAACTAGGAAAAATTAGTGGCTGAATAATATTTGTTATTAATTTTAGATTATACAGGTTGTCTTCGTTTTATTTATTTATTTATTTATTTATTGTAGCAAGAAATAAAGCTGAATAGGGATTAATTTTGGATAACATGTAAAGATGAACAGTGGGTATCGATAAATGGAACTTTAAACGATGTGATATACACCAGAATTGAACTTACCATGAACTAATTTGAATATCGAAACAATGCAGACAAAAATAAGACGAAAATAAAAAATGCTATTTCTTTGCCTTCTATTTTTAAAGCAATTTAAAAGTCATTCGTCATTTCAAATCAATTGTAAGAATGTAGCAAAGGATATATCGTAAGAGTATTGATAATATGAATTATTTTTAATGAAACGACAATACTTATCATTGACTACGGATGCTAACAGAAAAAGAAATAAATATACTGCATATCTTTAATACTTTTGGCAACGTTATTTTCACGCAAAAGATATGACAATTGATATGACAATAGTTTCATTATCAAAGAATACGATTAATAACATCGAAGGAAATTTAATTGCGACATACAAAAATTATCTAATAAAAATAAAACCAGTATATACTTACAACAAAATGAAGTGTGACATTTATGACAAGAAAATACGAATAATTTATTGTTTCATTGATACAGATATTATATACATTATTGCAATTTTAAAAATCAGTATCAACAATGTATGTTTGCTTGGAAATATTTGCTACGTATTATCAGGAATATATTTTCAGTTCGAAAACAACGAAACGGGAAAATTAAATAGAAAATTTACACTAGAGTGAAAATAAATAAATACATATATATATAAAATTATGTTCCAATTAACTTCAGTTTAGAGGGTACACATTTTCAGTAATTACGAAAATAAAATGTCTGAAACGAGAAAAAGTGAAGTGAAAAAGTCATTTTGGTTCTTTGATAATACTTAAATAAAATATGTAATAATTATGCAAATACTGATATATATGATACATTGAATCAATGGTTTATGAAGAACAGGAATAAACAGAAGCGAGTGACAGATAATATCGTAAACACTTGCCGTGCTACGGTCATGTTGATAATGTTCTGCCATCTGTTGGCGAATCAAGGCATAATGAAGCGTGGTTACACGGAAGATATTACTGTGACGCCATATTGGAGAACTTTTAATTTTAGAACGTTTGTTGTGATAATTTAAAAAAAAGAAAATACGTGTCCTATAAATTAATTCTATATTTCATGATATTTTCACTCGACCAAAAAATGTTTTTCCTTATTTGAAAAATATACTAAAGTATGTGCTAAAATATGAACCTAGTATATATTAAATATTCTAATTTTTATATTATTCATAATATTACTTGCAATTAGACTTAGACTTTAATGATTGTTAATTGATTTATTAGATTTTTGGAATGAGTAAATATTCAGTTTTTCCCTAACTCCAAAATTAGGATCTTATTCTTTGTTACTTTCGCACACAGTGGACATTTTTAGAAGATTGGAGATGTCAATGCCTCGTAGAACATGTGCAACGTATGAAAGGAAAGCATTCGAATCTAAATTGTGCTAGAATTTTTATATTAGGAGGAAATAAGGTATAAATATAGAATTCGAAAATGTATTTAATAATTTAATATGTATATAGTACATATATAATATTTAATACGATGTTTAATTAAAAATTCGAGATTATGAATTAGAAATTACAAAAATTCGAGATATAATACTTATCTTACAAAAATTGAAGAAGAAATATATAATATTAAAGTATATTCGTTATTTACATTAAAGAAAGTAAGGAAGAAAGTTCTATTTTATACCAGAATTTCAACTTCTTTCATATCCGCGAGCTGAGAAGATTTTTAAATTCTACTAAGTGAAGATCAAATAATTTTACATCAGCGGCAAAGACATTGTAAAGACTTGTTAAAAGTCGATAATGAGAGCTGCAAGTGAATGAATGCGCACCTCTCGACGGTAAACGGTATCCTTGGTTCACATCATTGTAATAAATCTTGTGTTTAACAGTGTACCAACAACTCTTATGACACCTGCTAACTTTTCTATTAATTACTGATTCTACTCATATTCGATCGAGGAGAAAGAGGAAAACAATCGGAACTTTGATCAAAAAATGACAATTCACGAAACAGTGACAACGTTAATGACATGTTAAAATAATATTTGATATGTTATGTACCATCGATATTAATAAAATAAGTATCTAAAAATAATACTTAAATAATACCTAAAAATCGGGCTTCCCTAAATAATATCTAAATAAATACCTAATAATATATAAAATTATTGTTTAGATAATATTCAAAAATATTTAAAAATTATACTTGTTTAAATAATGTTTAAATAATATTTAATAATATTCAAGAATAATACTTAAATGCATAATAATATCTGAACTATTAAAACAATATCTGACGCAGATATGTTCATTAAATATCCTCAATCAAACCATCTGTTCAAATAAAACAGATATCTCTGCACACCGATCTCCCTATGATGTTCAAACACGACCTTCTGGACAACTGCAACACTTAGGATTAGCGAAGGTGTACAGTTCAGGTCGAGTGCAATTTAAACAGGCGCCTTCGTTGCACGCGCAATTAATTACGCCTTTGGTATTTTCTTTTTGTTCCCAGCTTTCACATTTTCCTATTACCACTTTTCTTTTTCCCCTTTCCAGTTCCTTATCCAATTTGAAGTTAGCCTTTACCTTCAACTGTATTATACCTATCGAATTCTGATTCAAATTTTGTGTCATTTCTTCTCTGCTTCTCTTCATCTATTATTTTAATTATGTTTGTCATTTCCTTTCCAACCTTTTTACATCGTATTTATCAACTTCTGGTGCAGATTTTGTAATATTTCCTACATTCTGTTGAAATTCAACCTGGGATGACTCGTCACTCTGTCAGTCAGATGATCAGCTCTATAGGAATGTTAGAAAGAATGCGATAAGAAGAGATCTATATTAAAAAATTAATTATGTATATATTATAAAAAAAGTCTTGTATCAAGAGACAGGATTTTTAATAAAATGTTTAGAATTGGTTATTTAGGTTTAATTATCAACTATAATATTATTTCTTCTTTTCTTCCTTTGTTGTTTTTGCATTTGTTTCCTCGTTTCTATAATCATTCTGTAAATATTGTTATCTGTTGTGTATGCTATAATTTATTTTTCTTCTATATTCTATTGTATTATATATTATTAATATCTATTATAGCGAGAGGTACATTATAATGTAATGGTACGATATAATCGGCAAACTGATTAAAAGTTTTTTCAGATTCTATTCTTCAACTTCATCATCTAGTGTGTTCGACGTTAGCTTTTAGTTTCAACTGCTGACCTATTACATCTGAAAATTCAAATTTGCCGAATCTTTTATTATACTTTTAATCATGTTACTATTCCCTCCCTCTGTTATTCCTTCCAATCCTCTATCAGTTTTGTCATTTTTGTCATTTCTTCCTCAGATTCTTCTACCTGCCTGTTCTTACTATTTTCTTCCAAAATAATTCCACGTTCATTTTTGCAATTTTCCTCTGAAATAATTTAAAAATATTTTAAAGCGATTTTTCCTTGGTAATTATGGGCTGTCGACGTTTATTAGATGAATATGCAAATTTATCGAGATAACGGTCGAACTGACTTAATAGTGGTCCAAAAGATATATCTAGACTACGAGCCACGTCTCTACCAAGTTTTCCTATCTATTTCCTGTCGTTTGATCCTTAGCAGGTATTTATCTTTTCTCGTTAATGCGAACTATCAATTTTCTATCGTTAGCTAGAGTGGGATTACTCAATTCGCGCGTACCTGACGTGCAAACGTATCAACGATCGATTAAAAATTTCGATAACGATAGCATCTTACGGTTATGATAGTGTGGCTGACGCGAATAAAAGGACGTTGATAGAGGGTCAGCCAGTGCAGGGGAAACGTTCCACTCGTTTCGATTTCCGTCGATGCATTTCTTCGACGTCACACTTGCAATTTCGCAAGAATATAGTTGAGAAAAGAACCTCGACGCGAGCGTTTCTTAATATTAGAATCATCGACTCGTAATGCGTGTCCAAACCTCACTATATATACGCAGGATTTATAAAAACAATATATATATAGTTTAGTAATATACAAAATTTAAAAAGTAATTAAAGATTTTAATTAAAATTCGATGAAATTGAATAACTTATTAATCGAATAAATAGTTAACGATTATTGCAAAATTAATTACGACGAAAATAGATACGTGCATGATGAGTCATTTAACTCTGTCATCGAGAAAATATCGGTGAACTATTTGATAAGGAAAGAATATTTCAAATAAAATTTATTTAGTATCAAAGGCAATAAAATTTCAAAGATTAATTGATATTAGTAATTATAAGCTTTGGATTCTATATCGTGTTTATAAATGTCACGCGTTATGGTTACAAACTCCATTTGTTTAACAAATTTTTCCACACAGCAAACGAATACTAACGAACACGAATAATTTCAGATGGCAGTTCCATTCAGCAAATTCACTCTACAACCTTGCCTTGGCCAGAAGCAGTGGCACATTTTCAACAATCCCAAGAACAAGTCACTCTGACTCCTCGGGTAAGCTAAATTCTAAATTACTACGCTTAAATTAAATTACGTAAGTAGACTTGGTATACCTAATACTGACTCAAACTATCACCTCCTCTTCACATAAAATTCCTCAAGTCTACCAATTAATGGTCCACTAGCCTAAGACCTCTTGGAGACCCCTAAAACACCGAAAGCTCCCCAAAACACCTGAAACCCCCGATTTTCTCTCTGACAAGGAACCGAAGAACCCCCCAACAAGCAACTCCCGCTCTATTTCGCAAGAGGCCTGAATTCCGAGCATTAGATCGGCCATTGTTCCCCTGGTGTGGCGATCCGGTGAACCAGCTTTGACATCAAAAATCGTCGAAGGGACAGCGGCTCTGGACTCACGGTTTGGTTGGTCGGGGGGGAGGGTGGCGTAGAGGGGCGAAGAAAAATCGTGAGAGGAAGGAAAGAGAGAAAGAGAGACCCGCTCTCTAGCCGTGTGTGTCGTGAAAGTTATAGTGGCGAGAGGAGAGGCGAGCGGGGATCCTGAATCGCTTCTGGTACCTCTGGTAGATCGTGGCTAAGCCAGTCGCTCGCTCGCCGCTCACCTAAACGGCTTTCACCTGGGCCGATTACGAAGATCCTTGGTCGTCGACCGCCTCCGAACGATTCTGCTCAGCGTACACCCGTTCTCTTGCGTGCGTATGCACGCGAAAATGGTCCCGTGGTCCCGTGGCCGGTGATCGGTGATCGACCTAACTCGGCGACACGTCCGGATGGTGAATGGTGTTTTCCCGTCGTCCAAATAGTGTCTACGCGCGACCCAGGTGTACTACGTATGTACCAGGACCAGTCTAGGTGGTAGAGAAGAACGAGACTGTCATAAGCATCGGTTGGCCGATCGGCAGACGGCGTGTCCACTGATCCTGTTGGACGGAACGGTCCAATCGGTGTCTGCGGCAGGTTTCACTTTCGTCTGGCAGGTACGTACATACGCGTACATACGTGATTTTCTGTGCTCGTTTTTCCGTCGAACCAGGCGCGGAGAAAGTGTGGGATCGGTGATGTTTTCGGCACACGAATCGACTAGCCGCTCTTTTCCCTCTGGACACGCTTCTGCCGAGTTTTCGTGGCAGATGCGAGGAGCATCCTCGGGCCGAGTGGCGGGACACGCGAATTCCGATCGGCACGAAATCGTGTGGCCCCTAGGGTAGGGTACGTGACCCGTTTCCTTCATTCGAGCAACGTTTCTCCGGCGTGACTGTTGACTTTCTATTGTACATCTAGGGATTTATGGTCCCCGGTAGGAGGCGATGAACGCTGCTCAACAAATGAATTATGGATAATGAGTTTTTTCCCCGTGTTCATCTCTGGCTGGCTCCGGACCGGGTTTTCGCTGATTGAAGGGTCCGTGCAAAAAATTTGAGACCGTTGATTTTACTGACTTTTCAGAGGAGACAGAGAGTACTTTGATATCTTTCAGTGGTTTTTGTCGAATCAGTGAATGTTCATCGTGTTATATTTATGGACAACTAGTCGCTTTTGAATTTGAGTGAGTTTGAATTTTAATTATTGGGATATTTTGTTATTTAAAATAATAAAAAACAGGTGGCAAGAGTCGTTTTTGATATAGAGATTGCTATTGTTTTGGGATTTGAGTGAAAAATTTCGTTTGGGTTATGCTAGTGGGATTAGAAATTATGAAAGTTGTTAAAATTGTGGGTTTTAGGACTTTGACTTTCTTGTCATGTATATAAACATTGGTTATATATATAACTATTTATTTTTATTATTTCTGTTTAATTCTTATCTTCTTTTGTTATTGATAATAGATCGATGATTCTAGGATTAATTTGGGTTATTAGTATTAGGGTGACTAATTAATATTTACTAAATATTATAATTAGTATTTGGGTTGCTAATAAATTTAATGTAAGTAGATGGTATCTATTTTTCATTCTTTATATTATTCTTTTATGTTTGAGAATACACTATAAATGGCAGGTTTAGTGTTAACGTAGTTTATTAACAATAGGATTAACGATCTATCATATGTAGATAAATATTCTATAAATAGACGAGAGTAATTAAGACAGTGCGATGAAAATAGGTAGGTTTGTGGAATTATACTTCTTCCTGAATGAAAGTTTGTTTTGCTAAAGGCAGCTGTTCGTTTTTAGTAAATTCAGGACAATAAAATATTTAAAATTCAACGTTCTCCTTGATTTAATAATTTTAATATTAAAGACGAATAAATATTGCGAATTTTTATACGTAGCAGTTCCTAAGACTCGAGTACTATTTTCTTAGAAAGAGAATAATTGTATTCAAATATAATTTTTTATTCTGTGGGAAATTAGTCGTAGATGAAATATCGGTTTATAATACAGGAGTTTTAGTAATCTGGAATTTCAGAGAAAAACTACAAAAGAGTTTATTCTTGGATGGAAAGACTCCTTCTTGAGAAATTTATGGTTAACTTCTTCCTGTAAGCATGTGGTATGAAACATCTGACTTTTAAATATTCAAGAAGCAAGTCATTCCTGTAATTCCGTGATAAAAATTAAGTTATTGTATCTCCATTGTTTGCTGTTTGATATTCCAATTTTAGAAAAACGTATAAAAATGCAAATTGAAATTTATAAGAAACTGCATTTTAACTCCTGTAAATATGAGATTTGATATTTAACGATCGATTAGTCTTCTCAATTAAGAAACCAGGAACAGTTCCTGTTCCCCAGTCACGAAATTATGAAACCAGGGGAAAACCACAGGTGTCACATATTATTCTTGTCTTTATATCAGAAAACGCAGCCAATTCTCCGATTACCCTAATTATTATGGAACGAATAGATATTGTAGAAATAATAAAATCTTAAATTATTGAGTCATTTAGATGTTTTGATATTTAAATATTTAGATATTTAGGTATGGAGATATTTAGGTATTTAGGTATTTAGAAATTTATAATTTTGTAATACACAGGTATAATATATTATTATAATTTATTATTTTTCGAATACTTGGATTTCAGTATTTCTTTTCATTCTTATATATTTAATTATTCTGATATCCAGGTATTCAGATATTTAGATATTTATGAGATTTTAATACTTACATACAATTTTTTCAATATATAGATTTTAGAATCCTATTTTTAATATTAAATTTCCAAAAAGGTACCTTTAAATATTAAAAATAATCTTTTCCAATATCCAACTATCAAAGAGGCAATAAATTTCTAACGAATCTGAAATTCCTTTACTACGTAAAATTTTACAAAATTCTAAAATGCGGAAATGTATTGTTATGTATTAAAATGTAATATTAAAATGTATTATAAATGTGGTAGCCTTACGCTGATTCAAGTATCGCAAAAGTGACCGTAAAAAGTAGGAAACAACGTGGTTCCTCTCGTCCTCTAGTACGCCGCCTAATTATGGGAATGCGTGATTTCTGTGTCAGAACTCGCGATTGAGATTTCATTGATCATTTTGCAAGACAACAAGCGAGCGCATAACAGCATTGCAAAATAGACGCGAGGGCGTGTGGTGGAAATTAGATATTTATAGGACGGTCTGACGCGTTTCTGACATCGTTTCTCTCCCTCTCGTTCCCTTCTCGCTTTCGTTGATTATTCGCCTTCTTTTTTCCCCCTGTCCCGAGAGGCTAATTGGCCGAGGATCCAGGAGATCGCTTAGAAAGCGCGCTGTACTTCTCCGACTCTTTGATCGCGGCACGTTGCGTGATCGATGATGTGTTTTCGATTGCATAATTAGCAGGAAAGTGGCTACTTTCCCTTCTCATCGACAGGGTGATCCCAAGTTCCTAATTTTGGTGATTTTGGTAGGCAATCTTCGTGGAAGGAGCTATTGATGCTGATGGAGGTTCAGAGTAGCTGTGGGATAACTCGGAGGGATGATTTTGTCTTGGTATTGTGTTCATGTGTACAGTGATTTGTCGATGTCTCATCTTTTAATTTCGTCGATTTTTATAGTTAATTTTTGGGGGACATAGTTTGGGGGACAGTAGTTGTTGAGCAAGTTGAATGAATTATGTCTTGTATTGTCGATGAATATTTTGCCAAAATGCAATTTTTAATTATAATAAATTTATTTATTTAATTATAATAATTATAATAATTATTAATTTTGCCAATTTTAATAGAGAATTTTTATGGAACATAGTTCTGATGTTGGTCCAAGTTGTATTAGTAGTTTTCGAGTTACTTGGATGAGTTTTGCTCTGAAGTGTCTTTAAACAGTACCTTTTAATCCTTAATATTGTCAATTTTAATAGAGAATTTTTGTGGAATATTCTTCTGATGATGATTTAAATTACAGTAGCTGTCGAGTTACTTGGACAAGTAGTTTTGCTCTGAAGTGTCTTTAGACAGTGCCTCTTAACCCTTAATTTTGTCGATTTTAATAGAAAATTTATGTGAAACATAGTTCTGATATTGTTCCAAGTTGAATTAGTAGTTTTCGAGTTACTTGGATGAGTTTTACTTTGAAGTGTCTTTGGATGGTTTGTCAGTGGTGTCTGTCATTTCAAATTATTGGTCATGCATGCATATCTTCCTTCTCTTTCTATTACCCTACCACTTTCACCCGATATGCTACTTATTCTATGTACATACCTAAATCCACAAGTGGTTGTGCATCCTTGTTCGTGCGGATACCTGAAGCATAAAGAGCATCCACTCTAGCCCAACTATTCTTCGTTCATGCTTCACTCGCTCGATCAAACGCTGTTCGATCGTTCCATATACAGTAATCCTCATATTTGTCCACATAGCTCTATATTCTAAGAACTGTCGCAATGACTCCTACGTTTTCGGATCTGAAACACGAACCTGCAGCACCGTGCATCTTCCAGTCTTGCCCTGACCTTTGATACTTCCCTCGAAGGTAGTCGATGCTATCTAAGACCAAATATCTGATCGTGCTTCACGAAATGGTAACATGTGAACGATGTATGACAGTATTTATGAATCATCATAAATACCATCATTCTCATCTGAGTTTTCTTTTTACTCCGATAGATAATTGAGGGAGACAGATAACTGAGAACAATTATTGAACCTATCATTAAGGATCTAAAAATAATATCGATATACATCATTTCAATGAAATTATCGTCTAAAGAGATGAATTCTTCGATACATAATTAGTTAAATCGATTACTGATTGTTCTATCTGGAAAATATAGAAAGTGGTTCTAATAAAGGGAACGAAGTCCTTCATTGGTTACGCTATAAATAAATAACTATAAATGATAGCCGATATAAAATTAAAATTAAAATTATTAAAATAAAAATTATTAAATATAAAAATGAAAACGTTTTTCCAGTGTAAAGGGTCACTTCAAAATTTAAAATATCAGATATTTCGATAAAACAGTTTGGTATATTAATTTATACGTAACTTATTTCCACATTAAAGTAAAAAATGTTTCGAACTTTGCAATACAAAAGTTTGGAATTTTTGTTTCCCTAAAATAAAAAATATCTAGTACAAAGAACTAAACTAGACCAATGAATGTATCTGGATCTAAAACCTAGATTACTCGATGCATACAAAGAAACGATTCTTAGTATATTTCTTGAATAGAGCTAAATCTTGAAAAAATTCCTTATCTCGTCAATGAAGAAGCTTTCCTTTGTGGTTAAACCTGGATTATCTCCTCGCGATTATCGAGCAATCATAGTTCAAGGGCGATTAAAAATGGCGGTGGGCGAAGAACAGAACGTTGTCGATACGATCGCTGTAGATAACATTTCGCTAATTTTCCCTTCTGATAAAAGTCATTTTCCCTTTCCAGTGTTTTTCTGAGGTGATTATCACAAACACTGACCCATATGCGTAGCGATCTTTATCGTAGATGCGGCAAATAAAATAGCGCAAACAGAGCGGATGAAGGTTATCACTTATCGAGGGAACTGTAATCAATAACGACGATGCATATCGCGATTCAATGCAAC